AAGGAAAAATGAACTCTCAGAAAAAAGTGGCTACACTGAGCATGGAAATGCTTTTGAATTTTATTTGTAACTGAAAGGAACCTCAGAGATTATCTACTTCAACCTTCTCATTTTACAATCGAGAAAACCAAAGACCCTGAAAAGTAATGACTTGTCAAATGTCACATAGAAGACCCCAGCTCCTTCCAATTTCTCTCATTCTCTCACATCTTGCCCCATATAATGTAAGGCTCACTGAACTTAGGAAGATCCTCCTCTCCATATCCAGTGGATATTAGAGAACAAGTTCCTAATAATGTTGTCATGTCTAACACAAGAGAAATGCATTCTTAGAACTTCAAAGAAAATTCTGAATGGATTTTCTGAAAGAAAAACTGTTGTATACAGCGTAGGTATTTTCAATATAATATTATCCTAATTACTAATATAATTCTCTAGTATTATAAATCTTATAATTTAGGTACATTAAGGGTTAAATTTGGTGGGCTGCCTGCAAATCTAACCACCAAGAATATTGTTTTTGAGGAAGTTCCAAGTTCTAAACCATTTTACAAATTTTAAAATATTTATCTCATGCTAAATTAGGAACCAGTAATACACAATGAATCAAAATTATAAACTGAATGTGATAAATTAAAAATACAAGATTCTTCACTTTATAAAAAGCTCTACCTCAGGGGTCATTTATTTTTAAAACTTGGTATTCAGGCACATTTGGCACAGGATATAATTTACATACATCTTTTTAATAATATTTCACTAGAAAACTGAAGTAAGCAAAAAAAAAAAAAAACCAAAACATTTCTATACTTACTAATTTAGGAAAAACAACAAAAAACCTTTAATGCATATTTTCATGAAGTGACCTATAAGAAGAAAATTAATCATTTTATGAATGAAAGGTTGACAATCTACATTATAGTACACAGATATTTAGTAACCTTCCAAAAAATGTGTGGGTAAAGGAATTCCATCTGAACAGGTAAATAAAGTTCAAAGAACCTCCAAAACATTTTCTCTTTTCTCCTGAAATAAAGCTATGTTTCATGAATTAAAATTCATTTGATAAATCTATTTTTAAAAATTTCTATTCAGTCCATTAAATCAATGGATATTCTTCACTCATTCATTTTATTTGTCTAACAACAACAAAAATGAGCCCCTACTATCTGCTAAACACTATGCTAGCAATTTTGGATTTATGACAATAAGATTCAGGTTAGTTTCTGTCCTCAAGGAGCTTAGAAAAACCTTTAATTACCCGTATTTACCCAAGTGATAATGACAGCTGAATTTTAAGTTGGTCATTTGCAAAAACATTAAAAATGTAATCAAATTCATTCTCAAAAAAAGAAACTATACAATAGTAATTTTAAAGACGTTTGAACAAACTCATCATCTATATGAAGTTTCCCTACAAAGTAACCAAAAACATGGCTTTGGTAAAAGTTCTAATAATATATTTTAATAGTAGCTTTTGCTATGAAAATTAACTGAGCTAATAATACCCCAATAAGGAAATCAAAAGCTATTATTACCATCTCTGTGATAATGAAAACCAAACACTTGGAAATGGGTACCTTAAACTATTCTGAAAATGAAGAAAAATGTATAATTAAATGTAGTATTATACAATATTAACACATTATATCTGAGTATGCAATTATTTACAAACCTGAATAATAAACAAAACTTATCATACCTTATAAATGATCCCAACTATGCATTTTGGATCATGTCATCTGTGAATTTTTCAATGAAGAAGGCCTTAATGTTTTCTGGAAAAATTTTTTTTTTTTTTTTTACAAACTTAATTCAAGATTCTACTTGTTTATTACCAAGTCATGTAACTTTTTTCATCAATGTGAACTATATCTATAGTTATATCTACATATAGGTATTAACTACAGTACCTATTAAATTTGTAATTATTAAAAACTCTTGATGGATGAGAAACATTTTTCAATTTATAACCATATATCTCCAAAGCAAAATTCAATGTAAATCAGCCATTCTAACATGCCAGGGAGTATCCTAATAACATTTTTTTCCTTGTATTTTAACCTGAAATATTTTCATCACCCATCAGCTAAAATATCTAAATTTTCTTTAAAAGCATTATGAAAACATCTTTACTGAATTTATGCATACTACTCAGTGACATAAATGGATATTATCTCCATTTACATATAAGGAAACCAAGGCACAGAGGTGTCCATTTTGTAAATTGCAAGGTCATTTCCTAACCAAGCAACTGATCCTACACCATCAAGTTATATTGTATGTGCGCCACTTCCAAATGCCATAAAACAATTACTGTACCTTAAAACAACTGCTTCTGCAATGCCTATGGGCAATTCTGTTTTATCAAAAGGGTTATGACAACAAGCTTAAATGAGAAAAGCCAGAAGGGGAGGATTACAAAAAAAAAACACTTATTTTTGGCAGTGAATCATTTATTTTTAGATAACAAGAGGTAAACAGTTCTTAACATAATAATCAAGTAACCAACAGTTGTTTCTTCCGTTTTCAAAAAAACATTCCATCTTTCAGGTAGATCATGCAAAACTGGAGCCTGCCCATTCTTGGAGAGAGAAGTTAGAAAAAAATGAGAAAAAAAATTCTACAACAAGTAATTAAATACATGATATTGCAAAGAACTGAATGAAAAATATTTAGAGAAATTAGGAAATGCTCATTATGGCAGTTGAAACCCCACCTTAAATATTAAATGCTTCCTTTCTTTCAACTGAAGGCTATGGTCAGCAATAAAATATTACCGAAAAATAACGAAATACAAAACTTTTTATTCAAAACTTGAGAAATTTTATATCAAGTGCTTTATTCAAATATTTGCCATAAATAAAAACACTTTGCTAACAGAAACTTAGAGCATACGGGAAAAACTGTTACTGAGAGTTCAAAGACAGACTGCATTTGTAATTATGAGATAGTACTATCAACAGAAAGATAAAAGTTACCTATCACCCATATTAAATTTAAGAACATTAGATGGGTTGAATAATCAATAAATCAATTACCGCCCAAGAAATAAGACTTAACTAATGCGTGAATCTAACACCAAAGAAAAAATTAAATTATAATCCAAAGCACACCTTATACAGAAAAGGACAGGATTAGACTGAGTCATATAAAGTATCTAGTCTAGCTGGGGGTTAATTAATCGGCTATAAGACAGGTTGCGAATGTTCAGGTCAGATGTGCTTTCTTTTCATCATTACTCCAGTTCATCACCCGCAAGTGCATGCAAGAGAAGGCGTCAGAGTACCGAAGCTAGGGGGCATGCTGTAGCAAGGGGAAAAGAAAAATGGGAAAGGTGCAATGGATGCTGCATAGTTGAATAATTATCTGGGTGGCACAATGGGCGAGTCCTGCCGACAGCGGAGCTGAGTAAGCGGCTCCCTAACTCTGCCCGAGGCACTCCCCCATTCCCAGGCATCGGAGGCGACCTCCCCGCTTCGCCCCCTCTTCCGGGGAAGAAAGGGATCCCCGCACTCGCTTTACCTTTATGTCTGTAATATAAAGACGCGCGGCGCAAACACGCAAACGCACTAGCCGGCTTTACAGAGCCTCCCGCACGTAGCGCAAGCGGGGGCTTCTCTGCCACCCAGTGCTGCAGCCGCCCCCAGAGCGAGGAGGAAAGGGGGTGCCGCCAGGACAGGGGCGCTCAGGCGGTAGCACCCCAGGTGAGACCAGCCGTCTCCCCACCTACAGCAGCCTCGGGCGGTCCCTGCAACCGAGACCCAAGCGCGCCGGCCGGCTGCTGTCTCCCTCGGCACCCAGCCGGGCTGGCGGGTGGGCGGCCGGAGCTCCGGAAACCCGCGAATGGGGGTGGGGGCCGTCGCGGGGGAGGCGCGCCCATCCCCGTCACCTTTGCCGGGCAAGAGCGCCACACACACCTCTCTCCGTTCTGGCCAGTGAGAAAGAGTTCCTCTCCCAGCACCCTGTCCCCACCAAAAAACAATTCCTGAGAGACTCGCGCTCACCGTGAAATCATGGGAGGCTCTTGCCTTACCCCGTCTTCATGCTTCGGTGGCGGCCGCCGGTGCCCCTCAGCTCCCGGGACTCCACCTAGAGCCTCCAGGAGCGACAGTCTCCGGCGTGGAATCCGCTCGGGGCAGCGGCCGAGGCACCGGGCTACTGGGAACGCCGCCTGCGGCGCCCGCCTGTCGCCGGACCCACCGTGTGCTCGACGCGCGAGCGAACAACACCGAGAGCCGCCGCCGCCGCCGCCGCCGCCCCCCGCCCGCCCCCTCCCCGCGCGCGACACTCCACAACCGGGCGCGGGGATCCGCGCCTGAAGCAGGGGGGACCGCTGGCCCTCGCCACCTAATCTCCCATCCTTCCCAACAGGAGCTATTCTCCACCACTCAGGGTCTTCCAATTTAAGATTCTCACTTTCCTCTTCAGCTCCCGTGCCAGGTGCAGCCGTGGTGGAAAACTCAGCCTCCACCCACTCACCCAACGGAGGGAATGAATACGGCTTTCCCCCCCATTTCCTGAGGCTGTATGGTATTGCCCAATCCTCAATTTGGGGGAAGGGGACGGAGAGAACAGTGCTTGGCCAGAGAGTGAGGGAAGATGATAGCCAATTGAATGAACCATCCATTCAGGGGAGGAGTCAAAGAGAGGCCTGCCCACTTCGCCCCGCCCCTTGCTCCAAACTACACTTCCCATTGTGCCTCTCCCACTTCCCGCCGCGCTGCACGCCGGGAGTGTAGGGCCTCGCGGCCTCAAGGCATTTCGGAACTCGTAGTCTTTAATCTAGCCACATAGGTCCTGAAAGCTATAAGGTATTATAATTCTCTCTATTTCCCTGAATAAATGTTTTCATATTCTCGGTTCTCTTATACGTATTCAAATACTAATTAGTGTACAATATAAAATTTCGTAAGTGAATTCTTAGCAAAGGAAGTAAATAATGTGTGTTATGGTCATCTGTCAGGACCTGGAAGCTGCTTCTTCCGCCCGGGCCTGGTCTCCGCAGAGGATCTGTTGCCGTCATGTCGGCTGCAATTGCAGCGCTGGCTGCGTCCTATGGTTCCGGTTCAGGGTCCGAATCGGACTCGGACAGTGAGAGCGGACGGTGTTCCCTGCCAGCCGCCGACTCCCTCATGCACTTGAGGAAATCAGCTTCGACCAAGCCCTCTCTGGCAGTGGCGGTGGACTCGGCTCCGGAGGTGGCAGTTAAGGTAAGCTCTTTGGCCACTGATGCAGTGCGGGACTTGTCTGCTTCTGCTCCAAAATCCGGCAGTCTCTTGTTAGGCCCCGGGTTACCTCTTCCTCAGTGCTGAGATATAAGTTGCTTAACGCAACTTTCTTCCTACGTGCATCTGCCTCGGGAGAAGCCGGGACTTGGAAGTTCAGGACAGCTCTCCACTGCTCCCCGCTCTCGCCTCCCGCCAGCAAAAAGTGGGAAGGGGGGGTGGGGGTCGTGAAATTTGAATTTATTGTGATTAGGATGTGGCCTGGGTAGAGCAGGTTTAAATCAGAACTTCCCAAACTAGAGCATGTATCCTCACTTGAAGTGAGTAATGGCCCGGCTTGGTTTTGTTTCTGAAGTCAGAACTAGATTCTGATCCCGGCTCCACCACTTCTGTGAACTTGGGAAAGTTATACAACCTCCACTGTGTCATCGCCTGTACAATGGAGATAATTTTAGAAGTACGTGTCTATGTGAGAGGGTTATGTAAAACTTAAGTGAAATGATACAAATGTAGCTTATAGCAAAGAGCCTAGTATCTAATAAAAGTACAATAAATGTTAGTTTAACCCTTGTGATTATATATGTCAGTACAGTGAGAAAAGGCCTTGGGCTTAAGAAACAGTGTGCTTGATCCCAGTTGAGGAAGGTGATAGAGGAAGAAATTGGGTTGTGTGGATCATTTAACAAATATTTACTGAAGACATTATTTGCCAGGAACTCTTCTAGGGGCTGAAGACACAGAGGCCAACAAGCTAGACATCTTTGCATACATGCTCGTGGAAGAGGCAGCCAGTAAAATGTGAGCAAATAAAGTGGTTACAGCTTAGATTGAGTACTATGAAGGAAAAAGAAAAAGAGTTCCATGATAGGGAGTAAGATAGGATTATGACTTCCATAGATTGGTCAGGGAAGTCCTTTCGGAAAAAGCAGCTTTGAAGGAGGAGGAGAAACCAGCCATGTGCTAGATAAGGTGAGAGTTTCCAAAGGAATCAGCAAGCTTTGAGATGACAAAGAGCCTAGGTGTGTTTGAAGATCTGAGGAGAGGTTGGTGTGTCTAGAACCAGAGGAAAGCATCCACCAATTGGTAGTATAAGCTCAGTAGAGCCTAATGGGGGTGATCAGAAGCTCAAGATGTGGTGATGAGAGGCAGTGTACAAAAATTACTTTGTACTTAAGATGTTTCTTATAGAATTGTCAAATCAGTATGTTGTATGCCCGAAACTAATATAACATTGTATGCGAATTATACTTCAATATAAAAAAAAAATCAAACAAACCAAAAAAGGTGTTCCCAAGTCTAGTGTTATAACTTCAAGTCTTCTGCAAGTTTTTATGAATTTTACTTTTTATTAATAGAATGGTTATGAAAGAATGCTTAGGATCCTCCTATCTTTATAAGAAAACAAACTCCCCAAATTTGTATCACTCCAGCAACCTCCTGAGTTGTCATTCTTGCACAGCTTAGCTTTTTGGAGCTCTCACTTCATCTCATTTTCTCCTCAACCAAGAGCAACCTAGCCCTAGCCTCTTAGGAAACTTACTGTCCCTAAGAAATATTGAGAACGTGTCAGGTTCTGCCATCTGACTTGAATATCTGCATCAAATGACACTATTAAATAGGTCTTGTTTCTTGAAACTTTCTCTCCCTATGGCTTCCATAGGGCCATCCTCAGTCTTCCGAAACCCTGCTCTTCTGTGCTCCTTTGTATGTTTCCTTAGTCCCCCTTCCACCTCTCATATTCTCTCATGCCTTCAACTTCAGTCTATGCTTCTGATGCCTCACAGGTGAACACTGTGAAGTGGTTCACACAGGCTCTGGAATCAAGACTGTCAGGATTCAAATACTGCTCCAGCACTCACCCAAATGGTCACCTTGGATGAGTTACTTTTTTTTTTTAAGATTTTAATTATTATTTGAGAGAGAGAGACAGAGAGACAGAGAGCACAGGTGGGGAGGAGAGGGAGAAGCAGGCTCCCCACTGAGCAGGGAGCCTGACGTGGGGCTAGATCCCAGGACCCTGAGACCGTGACCTGAGCCAAAGGCAGACGCTTAACCGACTGAGCCATCCAGGCGCCCCTTGGATGAGTTACTTAAGTGTTCTGTGCCGAAGGTTTTTCTCATCTGTAAAGTGGAGATGACACTAGGACCCATCTCGTGGATAGACTTGTTCGTAAAGCACATTAAGCACTTATAACACTGTCAGACACACTATCCTTACTATTTCCAACTCTAAACTCCTTGCTAGCTCCAGAACTACCAAACTTCTCTCTCTGGAGGGTTCTCAGGTACCTCCAATCCAATGTGCTGAAAAATTAACACTCCCGCCCCCCCACCACCACCAAGGTCTACCTCACCTGTTTTTCCCATTTTGGTTAATGATCCCACAACCCACTTACCAGACCAAGCCAAAATAGAAGGGTCTTTTCCTTCTTCCTCAGCCCCTGAAGCTAATTGTTCAGCTGGTTCTAACATTTCTGCTTCATTAATTTCTCTCAAATTAATTTTTCCTCTCCATTTGCACTGATACAGCCTTACTTCATGTCTGCATTACTTCTCCCAGAAACCATTCTTGTTTTTCGTTTCTCTTTCAACCCCTGCTTCTGGGTATTGGGTTCTGTCATCGTGATACAATGGTATTTATCAAATATTTTATTTCAGATTCTTATTTCTCTGCAAGACTGTAATAATAATAACCTTCTAACTAGTTTTTCTACTTTTTCCTTTCTTGTTTCCTACTTCCATATCCCATTCTTTTCCTTCACAGCGCTCCCAAAGTGATCTTTCTAAAGTCCAGTGTTTTATCACTTCCCTGCCCAAAGACACTGTGTTACTACTGAATAATTTCTAACTTCTTTGTATAACATGAGGCTCGCCACTCTCCCATGCTGAACTCTCTACGAAGCCCCAAAAGCCTTATTTTCCTCTCAAGATTTTTGGCCATACTAGTCTCTCTGCCTGGAAATCCCTTTCCTGTTCCTCATGCTGCCCCACCCCCCAAAAATCCTACTGCCCTTCTGTCCCAGTAGTGCACATGTTTCCTCGTCCATCTGTCCAGGCAGCCTTCCTTTGTACCTCAGTTGTAGCAGCTGCTGCATTGCTGTGACTTGTTAACTTTTTCTTTACCCTGAACTAGTGGGAGACCCTGGGGACCAGAGATGGTTGTGTCTATTTATTTTCACATCTCCTGTGCCTAGTATACAAGATTGAGGGAAATAATATCTGGTGAAAGAATGAATGAAAGAGTAAGTGAAAAAGAAAGGCTTGGAAAAGCATATACATTGATTGGGTGGGGGCAAGGGAATGTCTCTAGAACTTGCTTTGTTCAGTCACCTTAATTTTTAAGTAAGATAATCCAGGAAGAGCGGTTGCATAAGTTACCAAAGGTCCATTAGAAGCAGAGCACAGATCTGGAGCTACACAACCCACCCCCCGCCCCGCCCCAGTTGATGAAGGTTCTATGATGAGAGAGTCAGGGACATTAATTGTCACTAGTTTATGAACCAGCACGTGCTTATATGCAAAACAAACAAACAAAACCTCTAAACCTTACACATAGGAAATTTACGATAGAAAAATGACCAAGGGAGGAGATGTGAAGCATGCAAATACATTCATCTGTATTTGACTAATTGTATTGTGACAAATAGCAAGCATTTGACAAGAGTATAAACTTAGGCAGTGTTTTTAATCCATTTCCCTGAATGCTGAGATTGAACATCTTTTCGTATGTTATTGGTGATTTGATTTTTTTTTTCTTTTTGAAGTGACCATTGGGTTGTCTTCCTTCTGATTTGTAGATCTTTGTATATTCTAGATAATATCCTGTGTCAGTCACATGTGCTGCAAATATCTTTTCCAGTTTGTGGCTTGTCTTCTCACTCTCTTTACTGTCATGATAAACAGTTGTTTACTTGTCTAGTCTTATCAAATTAGTCTTTTATGAATTGTGGCTTCTGTTTCTTGTTTGAGATCCTTTCTTATCCCAAAGTCAAAAGAATATTCTCCCATTTTGTTTTTTGAAAGCACTAAATTTTTGCTTTTTACATTTAAGTCATAAATCCACATGGAATTAATTTTTGTGTATGGTGTGAACATTTTTAATAATATGGCTCGATCTTTTGGTATAGCTTTGCCCCTCACCCCATTTTGTTGTTGTTATTCAAGAACGCTGTGGCTGTTCTTGGCCCCTGTAATTCTTTATACGGTTTAGAATTGACTTGTAGAGTTTTACTAACACCAAGGTGGAATTTTGTTTAATTACATTGAACCATAGATCAGTTTGGAGACAATATCCTATCTATTCCTTTCCTTAGGATTTCTTCAAACTTTTAATTTCTTCCAAAGTTTATAATTTTCTCCATCAACATCTTGCACAGTTTTGCTGCAGGTATTTCTAGGTGTGTCTTATTTTTATGCTAATATATTAATAAATAGCATTATTTTTTCTAGTTGTTTTATTTATTCTCACTACTTACGTAGTTAGATCAGCTGCAAGTATGACAGTATTCTTCTCTTTATTTGAATCTTTATTTCTTTCATTTTTTTTCTTGCCATGCTTGCTAAGTTTTCCAGAAAGATCAAAAGTAAGTAGTTGGAAAAAGAATATATCCAGCAAAAACTAAATAAAAGAAAGTGACACTGGTTGTATTAAGATCAATAAAGTAGACTTCATAATGATACAAAGGTTCAGTTCACAAAGAGGTGTATGACAGTTTTAAATTCATTTGCACCTAATAATGTAAGCTGAAAGTATTTAAGTAAAAACTGATAGAACTACAACTAAAAATTGACAAATCTACCATCACAGCAGGAGATTTTAATATACCTTTCAATAATTGATAGAACAAGCAAAAAATAGCAGTAATGAAACATTAAATTTGAACAACAAAATTAACAAACTATGTAAAGGGTATGAAGAACTTGCACTCAATGCAGAATATTGTTTTCAAGCACTAATAAAACATTTTTTTAAAAGTTGACCATAC